TCCTCTCTCGTTTCAATGATGCTCTTAAAGTACTAGTTCATGAAACCTGAGGGACATGGCTAAATAAGTGTAATGTGTTCAAGGAATATATTTCGAAAGGAGTCGTTAAGAGGCTTTAATATCAATAGAGACGTGAATAGCACTATGTTTGCTTTTTCCATTCACCTTTAAACGGTTCCTTGCAGCTGGGGTAGCGATGCCTTGCATATCTTCCTTTCTTTTGATTTGTTCTGTGGTGTGCAAATGGTAACTTCTTGAGGTTGCTCATTAAAAAAAATGCCTGAGAGTGCAAAGGAGCTGTTGCCTTATAAATGTGGTTTGCAAGCTGCTGTTACCTGACATTCGTGGGCAGTTTAGGTAACGCTGACAAGGTGCCCTCTTCAATAAGAATCATAACTATTTTAACGCCCTTATTACGTCTGAGCACAACTATGAACAACCGCAAAGCTGTCTCGAATAAAGAATGAATGAATAAATACAGCTGAACTGAGACATTCAGAGCTTTATGCTAATCTATCTGCAATATGTGTACACCCTTCAAGCTCAAGGACGATTGACATCCCCTTTCTGTGCCATATAGTTATCCCGAATTATGACCAAAACTGAACAAATGATTTTTACCTGCCATATTTGCTAACATGTTTTACTTTCTTCCCAAGAATAGACTCACTCCTGCTTACTCTACCGCAAGGACTGTGTGCTGCCATCCGGCAAAAATATGACAAACCACTAGACAAAACCAGCATGTCTATCAAATCGAAAATACTATGGACAGCCTGGGGTCATCCTTGGTCATTTTTTGCTATAGACACATTGACAAACCGAGGTCATCCATCACATAGCAGGGCTTATTAATGAAAATTATCATTTAAGCCCTTCATGCCTAAAAAAGGAAAGATTAGTTTAAAAAAATAGTATAAAGCTTTAATCCTTTTAACTGCAAATTATTACTTTTTTTTTGATAATTTCCGGTCAGAAGTGCCTATTTTTTATTGCTGATTTCTTTTTTTTATTGAACTAAAAAGCAGCTAGGCAAAGTTGCAAAAATATGTGCACTACATACCTAGTCAAGTTAATGGATTAAAGTAATTTTATGAATAATGCATAGGAAAACAGCCGCCTGCTACTAATAAAATTAAACACCTTATAAACAAAACAGTTACAGACGCCACATCGTTCTTCACTTGTGTAGGCTAAGCACCCTTGGGGTATTTCACTCGGGAAGCTTCGGGGCTGTGTCGAAAATGACAAAACGCGGAAAAACGCAAAGCGGCTTCACTGGCGGGCACTCGCAATGTTCCTGTCCGAGCTGTCTTCATCATCATCACAGGAGCTACTCATTTACATCATCGCTTTCTTCACTTTTGGACGCAAGATAAATATATGTACTTGAATCATCATCATTTGAAGAAGATGACGAAACCGAATAGCTTCTTTTTGCGTTCACGGGCCATTTATGCATTAATCACTGCCACCACATGCAGTCTTTCCATACAAAAACCACGCTGCTGCCGCAAGAGAAAACTAAATCCTTGAGCAAATGTTGCCATCTAGTGGATAACACACAATGTAATCTTTAAGGGAGGACACGGGTCTTAGAAAACCAAAAATCACAAAAAAAAAAAACTTTTTGAAGCTGACATTTTTGAAATCTGTGCCTATTTTTGCACTTATCTGAGAAGTTTCTAGCTTCTCGCGTCATTATTTCTGGTGCAAAATCAATTTATAACATCCCTGTGAGATGAATGTGAGCGTAAATTGACGCTAAAATCGCGCTTTTTCCGCGCCAAACTGTTGCCGTAACACACGAGCTATCGTGTTTATCTTGGTCTCGTTTGGAAGGGTCGTTCTTCATCTTCAATTTCCCGCCCTCGCTGGCTCACCTTGGTCATTGGTTTTTTTAGCAAAAATGCGTCATCGAGAAGCACTAGCGCGCGATTCAATTGGCTGCTTGGGGCACGTGACCAAATTTAGGCATCTGATTGGCCAAGGGGCGCTTTTGGCGTTTGCTTCACCATCGTGACGCGCACTAACATGCGCCATTTTGTCATGGTGCTACTGACTGCTTGGGGCAGTAAAGAAGTTCCGTGCTACAGTAATTTGTGAAGCGGGTTCGGCGGTGGTTCATTCGCTGCGAACTTCAGAAAGATCCCCGCTATGGCTCAGGACAATGAGGATAACGAACTCAAAGCGGTCAACGGCGGTCGCTGAGTCACCGGTGTAGGCCTAACTCACGTACGAGCCCGTTGATTGCCGACAACGTTACTGAGAACGGCTGTGTTTTGCAGCCTCCTCAGTTAGAGAACGGCAAGTAAAAAGCAGAAGTGAGGCTACCAGAGATATCAATCTTTGTAGTGACAGAACGGAAGTGCAGTCTTATCGCTAAACCCGCCGATGTTGTGGTTCCCCCCACCTGACGAAAGGACCTTGAACTGCGCGACGGGTTGACAGAGCGGAGTAGGCCGTGCATCGACCAACAACAGAAAGTCAATCCGTTTACAGTGAACATACTCGCGGCCCTCGCAACGGAGGCTACTGGCAACAGGTAGACTGCTTTCAACGACGTGTTCGCAACGTCGTCGCGATCTCCGCTCGAAAATGCGGCAGTCTTACGTGAAAAGGAAACTTCGGCACTCGTGTAGCCTCCAAATTAATGAGCGAGGGAGCAACTTTGGTTCGCGACACTTACGGGTAACTTATTCTGGACAAGCCGGAAAACATCGCCGGGTTATTCGACGGATCGTGGATGACGCACACACATTTGTCGCACATCGCCGTCAGTACAGTCACCGAACTGATAAGCGGCCTCGCGGCAGACGAGCACACGGTGACAACTTGCTACAGGACTAGAAGAAACGACATGCTCGTACAAACAATCAGTCCTATTACATTCCCGGTGCATATTAACCGACTAAAAGTATGTGTGCCATGATATTTTTCCGTTGGAACGGCGAAATTAAGTTTTAACAGCATTATTCTTGAAGCACAGATTTTGACCACTTTCTTTTGCTTGTTCGGTAAAAGTGGACCTAGGACAGCTAGAGCTGTAATTGTTGCACAATGCACAATGTACAATGTACATTGCACAATGTAGCTAAATGTGCACAAAAAACAATGCTGAGAGCCTATTTTTAATGGGCAGCTTCATTTTTTTATTTTAATATAAAAATTTCTGTATTAGATTACATGCAATGAACTTTACTGTGCTGTAATTCGAGAAGTACTTGTTCAATTTTTGATCAGCTTGCAGCATTGCACTCCTTAGGCTTTCTAGCATTCATTTATATGTCAATGGCTATGTAATTATAAGTGCATACATTTTTACAGTTAAAAATGCTAGAATTCTTTGTTTTCTTCATTTTCTCAAAATGGCAATTTTGTACACCCTGCATGAAAATTACTGCAATATATCTGAAACTGTTACAGATAGCAGAACATTTTATTTTGCAGCATGAAGCTATATGTTTGGAGCACACATCATAGGAAGCAGATTTTGATTTCTCTTGATGCAAGTTTTTCAAATTAGTCTTTTGTGTGACCACACAATGGCCACATTCAGGGCTGTGAAGTTTAGTGTATTGTAAAGTAAGAAATAATGACCCATTTAAAAAAGTGCTTCTTATGTTGCATGTCTTATGCTTTCTACTGTCAATCCCTATGTTATTTATAAATTTCTGACAGGTGGTTATTTTTCTATTATGGTAAGAACAATAGAAATCGTTATCTTGATTATTTAATTAACTAATGAAGATACAGAAAAAATAACATTTTTAGAATCTGGAGAACAAACTAAGTAAGCATGCCAACTTCTGTCACACTTGGTTCAAAAATAAATGAGAGAGCCCTAAGAACCATGTCCCCCCTTAAATGTGCGCTTTTTCACCTGAATGCTAGAGGAAAGTACCTATTTCACTAGGATGAGTTCTTCTCGTCCAAGGCAGTTAAGGGGTTAATCATACCTAAGTACACTTTATAAATACCTATGTCTCATATATATTTCAAATACCACTTTTAAGATATGTAGCAATATGTATTGCAAGAAACCTAATATAGCAAATCAATTTTGCTGAATCCTACAACATAAAGGATAGGTTACAAAACAATAAGAAAATCCACAAGTATTTTTCAGAACCGAGAGCTTCCTAGTTGATGAAAAAGTTGTGCTGCAAATGGGTGCATACCACTTTTTTAACGATGTGCGAAGAGTAAATTTTAGAAGTAAAATCAATAGTGGTAACAATGAATCGAATATGAATACAAATGGAATGCTATTCGAACAGCTTTCGAATAGTAAGGCAAGAATTTTCCATACAGTTTTATAATTTAACAATATTTTACTTGGAAAAAATAGTCACAATTGTTAACAAAGAAGCATTACGATTAACTTTGACTAACAAAAAAAAAATGCTGTAGTTACGTAAACAAAGGTAACCACTTTTAAGCAGTGATGGCCTGCTAAATAGTTTGTAACTACGTTGAAATACAGTGTTTTTTTCAGAATTGAAGGCAGCACTTTGTCACCATCTTCAAACTGAGACACAAAAGTTGAACAATATTCGATGAATGAATATCATGAATCTCTATTGAGAACAGCAAATTGAGGACACTTTCGCCTGGTGACACTAGTGTTTTAAATAGAAGTTCCTTCAATCTGCGATTAATACGGCATCAATAGTCCTATAAAAGGTTGGGCTGCATGTATCTTGGTAATCCAATAATTAAAACAAGATAGTGCTTTCTCGATGTTCCAATGTGTTGTTCCTAAGCAGTTTTTCTGGCACTGCCCCTTATTCGAAGAAAAGTATATGAAAAAATATTTCGTATTTCGAATATGTGCCTTTTAATTAGAGAAGCAAATCGAATAGAACACAGTTTGATTTGTTATTTGAGATTTTCTAATATTTGCACCCTCCTACATTTTCCCTTTCATAATACATCTAACGTCAGGAAAGCAGGCAGAATACTACACTTATATACGACCGATGTAACAATTTCTCTACCTTTTCCGACTCTCAGGATCTGGGTTAGTATTGTCTATCACAGCACTCTGACCCCGCCTTAGTGCCTTCTCGCATTCCTCAACACACTTCTGGGCCGACTTCAACATATCCTGGAAACACAAATAATAAAAATAAATTAATGAGTGAACATGAATGCTTGTATAACAGGTACGAAACTTACCAGCGGCAAGACTTACACGGTTAATATGAGCGTACTGCTTTGATACAAGGTACTCCTTTGCAAAGTGACTCTTACCAGCTGTGGAAGCAATGCAGTGATCAACACATGTTCAAAAGCAACAAACGGTGATTTATGCTGAACATAAGATATTTTACTAAAACCTGTGTGGTATAATAGTTGATAGAAAAAATAAAAACAATTATAAGTAATCTTTGAGTTGTTTTATTATTCAGCTTCAACAATAACTGTATGTGCTCTATTACATGAAGAAGTGCGGTGTGTTTCAGTCGCTGCAGTGTTTATTCTACACTGGTGGTCATCTTGAATACAGTGCTTATTTAACATTGTTGGATGCCCTTGTTCCTGTTTATAGCAAATTGTCAGTTTTTTTAGTTTTTTTCTTTTTCTCGTCTTCTCAAAGCCTGTACATACTTTGTATTATTTTTATTGTGTTGCCAATTTGTAAAATTAACAAATGTATACCCACTCTGCTAAAACCCTCTTTGAGGGTTACAGTATTGATAAATAAATAAATAAATGAAGTACATCACTAGTAAATGTCAAATAAACAAGACTGTTAATCTTATTTGTCTGACAAAATGGACATTTATAAAAATAAACACCACTAAGAATTCAATAAAAAATTACAATATTTAAACCTTGTTACAATGAACTCCATGAAATTAACAGAATAGTTCATTATGGCTCAACCTTGCTACACAAAACTGCACTAAAAAATCTTTGGATGCTAGTGCGAATAGATTGGCAGCTAGTTTGGAATTGATGAGACAATTACTTGAGGGGGGGGGGTGAGAAAAACTATCTGCTGATGTGAATAGAACATATGCAACATTGCTTCAATTGTACTCATTGATGGTTTGCTGTTTTTTTTTCTTCATGCAGCAACTTGTAACTTGCAAGTATGCAACATTGTTTGTTCTTCCACGTTGATATCAAATGAAAAATATAGCCACATCCTTTGAGAGTTCAACACTGCATATATTCAAGGTCATCTCAAATTATAAAAGATGAAAAATATTTTTGTCTCAATTGACAATCTACTACAACCTGAGGCGTTTTAGGCATATAAGATGTAAAAACAAACCATTATGAACAATCGCTGTGATGCAGAGAAGTTAAACTTCACATAACCGACAATTCGCTATAGCCACAGTCGTTATATTAATGTTACTGGGACAAAAGCACATACACTGCAAGTTATTTGCTTACATCTTTTTTAATATCAACATAAGCAAAAACCATTTTTTCTATGCTCACCCAATATAGGCCACATTTTTGAAACTATTTGCAAAACAAGAGTCTTAATGTTCAAATGAGAGTACACTATCTATGAAATACTATTTAACTTAAAATCTAAAGCAGATTAATAAATTTGTATGATGTATAATTACTCCGAAAAAATAACACCCTTTACTGAACTTATGGTACAATGCTGAAGTCACAAATATTTCATAAGACCAATACAGCACCAATGCAGTCTTCAGTAAAAAAAGAAGTTAGGGTGCATCAAATTAGATGTTGAACAGGTTTGATTATAGAGAAATAGCAGTATTTATATTCTTTACAACAAAACAGGTACTAAAAATGAACACACTTGAAAGTTACGTATATCAGTGGCATTCAAAGTACACCATACTACATATTTTTTTATAGATTTTATACAAAAGCAACCTACACAAGTGGCATGGTGAAGTACTTTACATGAAATAATCAGATGCTAAGCATCGGCTAACCATGACCAGTGTTGGAAACTGCAGTGAAAAGTTGGTTTGCTAAATATTATGTCTCATGAGAGATGTGCTAGGAGACCCACCTTAGTGGAAGGTTTCAAATAATGTCCACCACTTTGCATTTAATGTGCACTTAAATCACACAAGCCACAAGCCTCTAGCATTTTGTCTCAATCAAAATACAACCGTTATGGCCAGAGAAAATAACACCATTTACTGACTCTGGGAATATAACACCGGAAAATAACACAACAAAGGCACTGCGTCAACTTTGTGTCATTCTGGTCAGCAGCCAAGCACCGTAACCACTGTTCCACAATGACAGTACATTGGATATTGTGTCATAAGCACCCTGTTTCCAACCTCTGCACTGCTTTCTAGCATACAGGGCATCTATTCTTGGTAAATACTAGATACTTGTCACTGAAGGGACAAAATATAGCAAACTCTACATGCTTTATTGTAGGCTATATACCATGTGTTTTGGGAAATAGCATGTCTGTAAACCTTATAAAACACACGATTAGATATTTGCACACTTTTTGTGGGATTGTTTTGGTAACGAGGGCCTGCACTTTAAAATAAGTCGGGGTGAAAATTTTAACTGTACTTAACCGATAGACTAATTATCCTTTAAACCTAAATAGGAATGTACTTGAACCTAATTGGAAGACTGGAAATTCTTTGTACAGGGAATCCAAATCTGTGTTGAGCTGCGCAAAAGGGTGATGATTCTGATCACTGCAGAATAACAATGCCATGCAAGAAACTCCATTCCGATTTTCAAAAAAAAAAGGGGGGTCACAATCTTCATTAATATCCAGGATGACATCATTCTTTTCTACGTGTTGCTGGGCAAGAATGAGCAACCTTTCTCTTTCCAGTGCTGTACCTGATCGCGCTTGCAGGTATAGGCACAAAATATGCTGCAAAAAATTGCAGCGCTATCAATCCATAAACAATATCAGCATCAAACACAAGGCCATTGCATTCTGAGGAATTTTTTAGAGTAGTCATTAGAGCAACAAACTTTATTTTAGGCAAAAATTTTTAAAGCTTGACTTTGCTTTTCACATATTCATTAAGTTAGTCTTACTGTCCATATCTCTAAATGCCTAGCAGCATTGGCAAAGATAAAAAGTATATACTTACATGCAGGATACCCAACAAGCACCACAATCTTTGAAGGAAAAAAAAAATAAGCATAAGCAATTTATATTTTTCTTCCACAAGAACACTGCAATCTTGAAACACACACCTCGGTGTGATCCGCTGGAAGATTATCACCATTCAAGAGCTTGTCTTCACTTGGCTTTGTGGATGCTATTACTTCAGCAAGAGGAAGACCTGGCATTGCACGCTATAAGCATAAAAAAAGTTAATATAGTAAAATACTGCAGTACTGTGGTGCCATATGGTAGCTAAATAAAGGCACCAAATGATGGTGCCATATGATAGCTAAATAAAGGGCACAAAAAAGCACAAAGCAACAGATGAAAAAAACACCTAGCTGAGACACATGTACATGTCACAGAGTTTTCGCTTTAAATCGGTAAAAAACAAATATAAAGAGAAGAAAAAGGAAGCTACAAATGTGTGCCTATAGACGTAGCAACTAGAAATTAAACAAGACGCATGAATTTCGGCACATACTCACAGGGTCAAATTGCGGGAGATCAAATTTAGCTACAGGTTGCTTCAGAAAAAACTCTTCTGGAGTGTAGAATGCAATCCCGATGTTGAGGGCGAACTGAAATGAAGTTCAAAGGCACTGCGTCACCTTGCTGCAAACACGAAGCAAATGTTACCCGATGCAGAAATAGAAAAAACACCATGCATGCTACTCTGCAACTTTCCTTGCAGAATAGCAAAAATATTTTTGTTTTTTCTAGAAGACAATATAACAAGAAGAGATGGGAGCATGCTAGTGCTCTGGAGCAATGATGGTAAATAAACACTTCTTGTGTTTGTATTCTTGTGTTCCTCACACACAAAAAAAGCTCTAAATAATTTGTATCTCCCCAATTTTGTGTAGGTTCTTGTACAATGAAAATGAAGTTGGCTTTATTTAACATGAATAAATCACTACAGAAGTTTTTCAGCAACATTTGCAGTGCCAATGCCACTACCAATGTGACCAATCACAGTGACCAATTATGTCACAATGGCTTGACTAAGTGCAAATGCAAAAAAGGCAGCAACGACCCGCAAAGCAGCTACTACAATGAACGGTATGGAATGTGAGGCATTCAAACATGAACACTGAGGTGAAAAGTGTTATAGTTGAAGCACAAAGTTTTTATGAGGTGAAGCTAATAGTATCAAGTTAAACGAGGGTGCATTACTAGAAAAAAACCGAACAAGGTGTACAAATGAAGAACTATCAGATGCAGTTCTGAGCAGATTGCTTGCATGCCAGTCCAGGATACTTCCTACAACCTATACTGCTCAAAATAAAGCCAGGTTTACTTCAACACGTACGTTGGCAAACTCGCTCATGGGTCGACTCACTCAGACTCAGATGGGGTCATGAGTCTGTGTCTGATTGAGTCCGGTTGAGTGGTACGTTGCTGGGTCTGACTGTGAGCAAGTTCAGTTTAGGAAAAGTTTGGCGAGTCTGAGTGAGTTCTATTTTTTTTTTTTCTGAACTATGCCTCAGTATAAAAACGTGCTATTGTAACCATTGCTTTTCACTTACGTTACCAAGTACACATTTATTTAAAATGACCAGTATTTAAATTACCAGTATCGATAAATTTCAAAGTCGCGATGTAAAAATCAAAATTAGGTGGTAAACTTTGCTGCGTTATTCACATCACACACAAGTAATGTAAAAGAAAGGCTTACTTAAATGCAAATAAAGAATAGGGCACATAAAAGCATTGCAAGGTCTGTTGATTATTCAGATGACAGACTGGACAGCCTGATTACTATTTGTTATTTTCAATGAAATTTTGATACAAGGTAGTTAAATGACTGATGAAATGAATTCTTCTTGACTTTGTAAAATATCTCAAAGCGTTCCTGGAAATGAAAAAAAAAAAATGAGGAGGTTCTGTCATTGGAAGTGAAAAGCTGCTTTCTTGAGATTAGTAAGTTTTGCAATAAAGGCTTAGGTATATTACAAAACTAAGACAGTGTACTGAGTAATAGCACTTAATTTGTAACTGAAAATAACTTTTTATAATTTCAGACATAATCTTGGCTCTTTCTGACACAAAATACAATAGGAACAATGCACCCGTTAACTTCAAAAGAAAACCTTACTTAATCAAGTGACAAGTGGCTCACTAGGATCACTTATAGCTAAACATGCAATTCAAAATTTTGATCATGTGTCTTCAATCGCTTATTGCAAAAAAAGTTCATAACTATCGGCTAGTTGTATATCAAAGCCCTAAGGAGTCAAAATTTGAAGCAGCAATATTCAATGTTTTTACCATAACTTGAACAAATAACGAACCTTCATAGAAAGTTACATCAGTGCCCACATAGCAATGGCAATTCAAAAGCTAAAAAACATGTAGCATCATTTTGTTGTTTTTTCAATGACCACTAACTGTATACTTGAGCCTATGCATTCTCCTTTAGGCTATTCAAATAGCATCAAGCTCACATGTGCATTAGGAAAACTGATCTTTTGTAACCATAATAAACCTTACTCAGATAACACTTTAGTTCTAGTGACATGCTTTCGAGGTCCAAAAGCATCTCAATAGTAACATAATGTACAAGATGCCACTGAAAAAATAGGTGTATGCCTTCAAATTAGCTAACCTCAAGAAAACAAGTCTTTACTTTGAGTGATGCATCCTTTCTTTTGTTTGCAGAAAAGCTAGGCAAATATTTTCACAGCACTTCTTTTGTCAAATAAAAATTTTTTATATATAACAAATTGCCATCAGATACTCAGTTCATTCCTATATGAATAAAGACAGATAAATATTAAGGAACCTAGGTATAAATATGCAGCACAGTGATATACATAGGTTCATTAGAAGTTTAAATATAACATTTACCTCGTGTAAATAAGCAGAGGGAAATAAATCACAGATGAACAAATCCTCAGAAATGAAGCCAAGAAAAACAAATGCTGACACAACATTCAAGACTATTAATGTTTTTCGAATTCGCATACATGTTATCCACATCAATAGTCAACTTTTGCTACTAACCAGTCTGTCTGAACACGAAAAATCTTTTTTGCGTTTTGGTTCCCAGTTTGCCGGTCTTCCAGCAGCATCTGAACAATGAATAAATTATTATGGTAAAATTAAAAAAAAAACAATAAGCATACACATTTTGCACAACTAAGCTTGACTCGGAATCACTACTTGTGTAAGGGTACCTACTTCTGTAAAAAATTCCTGCATAAATATATTTTTTACAAATGATGGCCCTCTAATAAAGCATTTTCACTGGCACCAAACAAACATCATGGAAATTTTGTGGCTTGCTTCTATACTGCCTTACAATAACCTTACACTTGTGCGGATGTTGAGATCTGTTCTGATGCTTGAGACCGCAATCGTAGAAAATGATCAACCCTTGGGACATACTCTTCCCTCTCAGCAGCAGTCATAAACGTGAGTACATTCTCTTTCTTACGTACTTTTTAACTAGCATTTTCCCCTTAAGTATGTCATTAGACAGTTATAGATTACCATTAGCGTGATAGAGGAGGTAAAGAGAATGACATTACCATGCAGCGAATGTTTGTTGCGAACAGCGTCTTACAGTTTAGCAGGATAGCCTTTACGTGGTTTACGTTCCCCAGCTGGGATGGTGGTGCCACCTATCGGAGGACTGATAAGTTAAAGAACAGTGAAAAGGGAAAGAAAACAAGAATGTTTGCCCGTGTCACCGCGCTAATTGATTGATTTGTGGGGTTTAACGTCCCAAAACCACCATTTTGATTATGAGAGACGCCGTAGTGGAGGGCTCCGGAAATTTTGACCACCTGGGGTTCTTTAACGTGCACCCAAATCTGAGTACACGGGCCTACAACATTTCCGCCTCCATCGGAAATGCAGCCGCCGCAGCCGGGAATCGAACCCGCGACCTGCGGGTCAGCAGCCGAGTACCTTAGCCACTAGACCACCGCGGCGGGGCTGTGTCACCGCGCTAAGCATTGCTACAACTTTATTTTAGTAATAATAAAAGTAAATAAATGTGAACTCCGCACCAAACGTGAAAACATTTATGTTGCCAATTTGTTTACATCGATCTTCTAGTTAGGCCTAGAGACGTTCGAAATGGGAAGGTATTTCAAAAATTACACTAGTTCATCTGTAATACTCGGTCATCAAAGCTAACCGAAGGCAAGCGAAGCCATTTAAAACAGTCGTTTGCTGCGAATGAAGTGAATCTTTTAACAACTACGCTAAAAGCACTTCGAAGCGGGCGTTAGAAAATGCAACCATGTTTACATACACTACGTACACTTACGCTACTACGGTAACCTTAAATCTGAAAAATACCGTGCCTACGGTAAGTGGTACCGGTAACGTACGTATCTGCGCAGGCGCACTTTGATCCCGCTATCATAGTAAGCCCGCTACCTCGCTGAGCCCGGTATACTATAACTGTCTATTGACATGTTGGCATGCCATAGCACTCCTAACAAGTACCAAGGATGTTCAGAGTGTTAAAAGCTCTGACTTTTGTTCTTGCATATCATAATACCTAAAGTCCATTAGAGAACATCTCCACATATCTGATGCCACTGCGCTACAGTAAACTTCAGTAACATTTTCGCTCACCTCTACCTTCCAACATGCTGCCTCGTACATTAATGCAGGTTTCAGCATTATGAATGAAACTCTCCATGCTATTTATTCTCTTACAGGGGTGCAAAACATTATATACAGCAGAAAACAGCTGCAGCGGATGATCCAGATTCTGAGGCTGAAGGACATCCACGAGTTATTTGAGGGAATGTCAGTGTTTCAAGCATTAGTGTTTTCAATTTTACTGATTTATAGCTTACTTTGCATACACACCAAAGGAACCTAGACTTGAGCTATTTTTAATGACAGCATATGTGAAGCTAATGAGGTTGCTTGCTTAAGTAACATCACTCACTCACTTCATGCAGGGTGGTCAAAAGGGGTAAAAATGTGGTAAGAGATGGCACTCTGATTAGTGGGAATCTGAGATCTTAAAATATATATATATATTTTTATAAATTAGAGGTTTCAATAAGAAAATTTAAAAGTAGGCCCTTCAAGGACCTTACATGTGCTGTTGTATTTGTATACAACTGCCAAGATTATTTCAAAAGCCTTAAGAAAAAACTTAGCGAAATGCTCATTACATTGGTAATTAATGATATTGAACATATCTGAACTCTAAAAGGCACACAAACTTTATACAGTAAAAATTCAGGAGCGTTCAACGGTGATCATCCAGCAATCGATGCAAGAATAAAAAAAGAAAAGTGAACGTGGCACAAGATTATGTGAAATTATAGAAATGTGTGCTTGATTATATCCCACTGCTCACAGCTTTTTATCCTCTGCCACATTATTGCGAAATGCAGTTTAAGAGTGGATGTCCAATGTTGCCAATTTGCCACAAATTCAAGGTAAGAAGATGTCACTTGATGGGATGCCCTTCTCAAGCGCTCATCTAAAGCTTTTTCCCCATTCTCCAGCCCTTTTTGTTGCAGGGCATTACCTGAGTGAAGTGTAATCCACTTGAAGTTTAAAATATTGTTTTCTTGCACAAAGGAAGACACACAGAAACATATACATACAAAGCACCACTACCAAGCAATTTAATTATAGCAGAGACAAGTACATCAGAGAGTGAAGTTCTCTGCATTCATGCAGAGAATTCATGCAGAAATTATTTGCATTCAACAGAAAGCACTTGTTGTAATATTACACATTTTCTAAATGCGAAGCATTTCTCAGCGAACTTCGGCGAGTTTGGCGGTATCTGTTTGTCTGCCTATCTAGCCGCCTACGACTTTTACCTCTTTTGGCCGTTTGGATAATGGGATCTGTACCGAAATTGGTATGACATTACATGACTGTACGACGAACATAAGTGACTAGTAATAACATGAAAATGATGACGTGTATGTCATTAATGTCATGATTTACATGTCAGGGTCTTACTGCTCCTGCGGTGGTTTCGTTCACATGACATATCACAAAACTGGTATGGAATGACATGACTGCATGGTGAACATAAGTGACAGCCTCTCACATGAAAATCATGACATATGTGTCATGTAAGAACATGACTACATGCCACGCTCATGATGCGCTCACGGTCATTTCGTTAGCTTCACATACAGCAAATTTGGTATTACGTGACGTGAATGTATGGTGAAGGTATATGACTGGTACAAACATGATAATCATGACATGCGTGTCATGTAAGAACATGACTACATGCCATGCTCATAATGCACTCGCATTCGTTTCGTTAGCTTCACATATACCAAATGTGGTATTACGTGACATGAAAAGATGATTAAGGTAATTAAACGATGATGGCTGGTGGAACCATGATAATCACGACAAGCGTGTCATGTAAGAACATGACTACATGCCACGCCGATGATGCGCTCGCTTCATATATACCAAATTTTGTATTACGTGACCTGAATGAATGACAAAAGTAAATGACAAGTCCAAACATGATAATAATGGCATGCGTGTCACGTAAAACATGACTACATGCTATGCTCATAACGCGCTCGCGGCCATTTCGCTAGCTTCACATATACCAAATTTGGTATTACGTGACGTGAATGGATGACTGAGTATAAACGCTAGGCGCAAACGTGATAATCATGACATGGAAGTGATGTACGGTATAATTTTTGTCCCCCTCGTAACGTTGAGCTGATTTTAATGTGACAATTCAACCTTCGTAATTCGTGCTTCGCATATCATCAATTCCCACTGTACGTGGGATCTACCAATTTTTTCTTGCTTAAGCCACACTGAAATGGCATTATGGAACAACTCTTATCTTGCAAGTGTAGACACAGAAAGCATGACTCACACATGAATACCTCACAGTATACATTAAGAAGCACGTACGCTATGCATTTCATGTAAACTGCTTGAATGCTCCATCAATCAGTCATTTATAGATCTGTCTGCTTCGTACACTGTCATCTCCCAGTATACATAGTGAAAGAACATATAACTGTGGAAAGTTGTTGGAGGCAGACAAGACACCAGACCTGCCATTTCTAGTGACCATTTAAGGTTACGACTAATCCTGCAAAAATATGGTACCACCTTAAATCATGTGGCATCTATATTATGTCCTTACACCTAACTATAGCTTTTGTTGAGCTGTACTTCATCTTTTTGAAAGCAATTTAGCAATAGGACACATGATGAACTCAAAGAAGGCTGTTTTTAAAAACCCATTTACTTTATTCAAAATGCAGCCTACATTATGTAAAGGTGAGTTCCCCAGGTAGGTTCCACATCACCTCTCTATACAAAGAAAAGTGATGTTATGTCTCACAACCTTTGTGTGTGCAGTCGTATTCGAGTTTCTCGGCAGGCAGAGAACAGTGCAGAAAGCACAAATGATGAAATAAAAATTTAAAAAAAGGTATAAACTGAAATGAATTGTTGACTCAAAAGCCAAGGGGTACCATATGATCTCGTTAATTGAGAGTTTGTTATGTTTTCCCAGTTATTATACTCAGAAAAATTGGCCGAGCTTAGTTCCAATAAGCTCATATGTATATTAGCTTTTCGTCCATTGTTTTGCTCCAAGGTTATGTTGAAAAACTGCAGGAGTGCACTACTGACTGCTGCTATTGTGGCATTTTATGCACTGCGCTATTACTTGCAACATTTCAAAAACACAAATGCATGAAAATTGAAAAGACCCTAGTTAAAGCTTTGTATCTGTAGGTAGCTTTTTGCCACATTTGTATTGCTGCCACAAACAGTATAAGATGCTGTTTTCTTGAATCATGCATTACATTCTACATAGTCCACTAAGAAATTGGGTTAGCTGGCATGCTTTGACCATATACTAACTTGAAGTTTGTTAAAACCAAATAGTGAATGCCTTAAGATGGCAAAGCAGTGATACTTCAAATTAATATAAGAATCATCAACATATCTCAACACTTCAAAATGTATATAGGCTTTTAAAAGTACCTATGCTGCTGTGGGAGCTTAATAAAGATTCTTCACACAAGGTCCTTAAGACAATGTATCTATCCCTCAAATTATTAGGTCAGTTGGCGTCGAT